GATGAGGAAATGAGGATCAAATAAACAAAGGAAAATGTAAATAAAAAGAGGAAAAAAAATGATAAAAGAAAATGAAAACAGATCAAATAAACAAAAAAAATAGAATCTGAGTGGAAGGGAGGAAGGGAAAAGAATGGGATAAATGAAAAAGAAATGAAGTAAATTAAATAGAAAATGGAATATAGCTATCAGCACTATTGTATAACACAAACTATGAGAGCCTGCAATCACAGTAACATATTTCAATKAATTTWGACAGTTGACCTGAAAGGATTTTGTGTCCTATTCAGTCAAACCCATGACCGTTTGAATACAAGCTGTATCCTCTATCAAGCTCTACAATAGATAACTACATCACAATGAGCCAGGCTGCTGTTGTATTCATGCTTAATATTTAATTGCACRATGCARTTTGTAAGTCTGCCAATGATTCTCCTTTGACCACCATAGAGCGGCATCTGTTTTAAAGGTTTACAGACCCAACTGAAAATCTTATGASATTTGTGCACATAATTTATCTATAAAAAACCTTAGGTTCTTGATAATCATTTCTTACATGTGTATCTTCCTTGATCTGTGCTTCATCCATCAGATATGTGACTTTAAATGATACATCCTTGCTTGACTTAGCAACTTCTGCATCATCCGATACATCAACAGAGTCATACTTGATACTGAGGTAGGGTGGGTAGATTTGGCCATCTGATGTCCTCAAATTAATAAACATTTGTATTTCCTTGGCATAGCGAATCATGTTCAGTTTGCCTGCTTCAGTTGTTTTACCTGATTGTCATTAAAAATTTTTTAAGTTGATTAGTAAAAAGATAACTAGTATTACTTTCAACCAAGAAACAAAGCAATAGTGTCCTCCATGGTTCCCTGCACTGTCTTAAAAGGTAACCATGCCTTTGCATCCAAGCAATTATTTACAAATATTATTGTTGCAAACTCAATGTTTTCATGAAAGGCATGCTTACTGGAAATCATGAAGGAGACTATTAGCATATTTCTAAACTACCCATTTTTTAAATTCATTTCTCAGAACACTCACAAAACCTACCAACAAGATTTTCTACGAGGAAAAAGCGGCGACTCAGCTGCCATTTTGAACGATCAGACTTTGTGTTGACKGTTTCTTTGTTAACTTTGTAGTTTTGAACAAGAATGGGGACTGGATAGAGWGTCTTTCCTTCAAGAAGCAGCCACATGTCGTAGAAGTACATTTTAGTAGTTAAAAGTCTTGATACAGGGATTGAACACGATGAGACAAATGTAGTAGCAAACTTGTTAGCTGCATCCATCTTGSTCAGCCTATCTTGGCATAGCTGTAACTGTGAAAGTCCATTTTGAAGCCCTACAAAAGATCCRTTCAAGGTAAACGTGCTCAGGGTGAMAGTAATCAGACTATTAGCTTGGAATTTAACGGCAATATCTTTTTTGTTGAGAATATCYGTKGCATCTCCTGAATTTTCATTTTTGTAATACAACCACGGCATGTTAACYGGCCAATCAAAGTTCCTGCTCCTGTAGTCTCGTTTCTCACTAATATCTAAGTACACTTTGCATGCGTCAGTTTCTGATGTCGACTTTTCTAACTCAAGTGTATAATCTAGCAGCACGCAAAGATTGCCAAGAAGTTGACATGCAGTGAAATTTTGATAAAGATTACAAAGAGCTTGGGAGGACTGGAAATGCTCTTTAAAGAAATATGACACAATAGTTTTGCCGTTGTCATAGGTAACCGTGAATATGTCATTTGATCTCTCAGTGACGAGRTTAGATTTSGAGACACAAACACCGCCAGTAACATCATGGGTTGCCTGTGGACAGTCACATAGCAAACYAGTGACATTGCTTCTTAAGAACGTTGAATGACATCGTTTACAATTGCCGCTGTTGTAGGAAGGTGCCGTGTCCATCAAACAACGAACACATGCTCGTTCGCTGAGCAAAGTTCCGTCGGGTTGACGATCGACTGCAACCGATCCTGAAGTACAGTCCGTACATTGACCACTAGTAATGTCAAAAASCAGGTTGCTAGGACATGATATACAAGACCAGCCATCTAAAGAAGTAGTTTTATTCAAAGCCCGACACGATTCACACTTCAATTCCGGTCCACCATATTTTTCGACGATTTTGAATCCATCGTTGCAAACACAKGACARKCKATCAGTACTTTGTTTCTTGCCAGAGCCACAATCAATGCACTCTAACGACGAAAAYCTGAAATACTGACTAGAAGAGCATTTACTAGGCTCTGAGAAAGGAATATCGAAGCATAAAGCAAMTAAAACTTGTGTTGTTAGGAGAACATAAACAAAGTAACAAACTCGCGCCATTTTGGACATCGATTCGAAGGGATGTCTGGGTNCAAACCATGTATCTTTTGCTAATTCCTGAGCTGAGCTCTGATTGGCTCGCTGCTCCCTAAGGATTTTGGTGACGTCATATATTAGCATAGAACTTCACCGAATAGACTACCCCAATTAGATATTAGATATCTATAAGTGTCTTCATAGTACGATGGTCTAAGAGGGTAGCTAAAGGTATGCTCTAGTGGGCGGCTACCCCCTCACTCCCTGGCCTTTTGGTTAAGACTAAGTTTTATGTTCACTCGGGATAGCGTGGAAGAGCCGAAATCTCTAACCGTAACGTAAGCCGATTCGACGCCTCAGCTTCACAGAATGTCTCGGGGGAATCGTCCCATCTTTTTAGTTTTTTATTTTCAATATTTCTTATGTTTGCCAGGGGGGGTTAAGTCTTCTACTGAAGTGAAAGTCCTGAGTTCGAGYCCTGACGTTGGAATTTCTTTTTTTCTTTTTGCTTATTCATTGTTTCTATTTCGCTTGTTTCTTTTTCTTTTTTTCTTTCTTCTTCGTTCCTTTTCTTTGTTGTTGTTACTTAGTTTGTTTTTCTTTAGAGATCATTTCTCTTTTAAACTTAAAARTATCAAGGGCTCGCAAGGAACGCCTGCTACAAGTGGATGGTTACGRTTCGGTCATTCAACACATGACATAATGACGAGAGGCCCCATAAGGCCTTTTGTCACAAAAACGGCTCGTAAAACATGATTGGTGGAGCAAGGTAGCTAGGACTGAAATCATGAGCTACTTTGTTTCTTCAAGGTCGAGAGGTTGTCTAATTTATCCAACTTTAATTRAGTCGATAATGAATAAAGTTTTACTTCGGCCAGGAAAAGGTAATAAAAAGTAAAAGTATACAGTATACATTTTTTCTTTTTTTTTCACTAATTTTTAAATTTTACAACTTTATTAACATCAACAACAACAAACTCAAAGGAAATGAAAACGAATGCCATGCCCTTCTAGCCTAAATAGCGAGACAACAAAAACACAACACTAAATTTTTACTATTGTTGTAATTGTGCGTGCTTTTAAGCAATAACCGCGCCGATACACATAATAAATGCAGCTGATTCCTTAAGAGTTTTTTATCGTTGAAAAGTGCCGTAAGCTTGATATTGAATTGAACGTGCCASTGAACGTGTCGATCACTAAAACAGTACTTAGAACTCTTTACAACCCAAAGAGGCAACGGATATCATGAACAATAGGTAACTGAACATATCTCAAGTCTTTGTCAAGTAAAATTCTACATAATATATAATCTTTCAAGTGTTGCTCTCATAAAATATAACAATTCTTAAGTTAGAGTGGATTTTAATTCCTGTCCTCCCCAAGGAGCTCTTCAGTAAAATCACAATGGCCAATTCAAGCTCTCTTTCTTAGCTTGGAAGTGTGTTAAAATATATTAGCTTAAGGGTACGCGSYTCATAYTCTAGCAACAAGTCCGATCCCCTCACTCAACATCAATGMCCGTGAAAATATGAACTTTAAATTCYATATTTTCGTTTCGTTTTTCTTCTTAGAAATCGAGTYCAATCGTTGCGACACTACAAATSTCTGTCGYTTGAAAAGCCATCAAGAAAAACCAACAACGGTCTGTAACATTTCTCATATTGAAGAACTGGAAATGATGATACATCACAAAAAACAAGTACTACGTTTGTAAGTTGGTTTCTTTGACAGTTTTGATACTTTATTCACACCAACATATCTTTGTAAAGCCAAATGAATTGTGTCCGTATTTGYGCGCGATGTTTGCATGTCCGACGCCGCGTCTCTCATAAATTCTAAACTCCTACCATAGTTAACTATTAACTATGCTCCTACTTAATACAAGAACAGCAACTAATCAAAACTCTTTTTTTCTGTACATTTTTTGTTTTGTTTATACAGAGACCTTAGCAGTAACGATATAACGAATGTCTCAATAGGATCACTTGTAGCTTTCGTTAACCTTCAGTACTTGTAAGTACACGCGCCATGTGTTGTAGTACTAATAAAAACAGCGATCCAAAAAAAGAAATCCAAAGTCCTTTTTGTTGCTTTTGCTGTCAAATTTGCAAGAGTTATAAGTTTTGTCTCATTTTTCTGACCTCCAGACTGTTTTTATATTGTCAGTTATCAGGGTTTTGTTTAGTCAAAGATCTTTTTATTTGATATTTACTGTTATTGATGTTGCTTAGATTTCATGGATTCCTCGATTCCTTGGTTTTCAGGTCATTAGCGAACAACAAGATCGAGGTTCTGGAGTACGAGGCCTTTTGTGGCTTAGATAATCTAGCAATACTGTAAGTATCAAAATATACATTGGTGATTGGTCATGGTTATATTTTTTTTGAAGATTATTTTGGCGAGGGCAAAGTCTCTATGCAATGAATTAGTATTATTTACACTGATAGTAAGTTTATAATTACTGAGGAGAAGTTCCATTTCCAAAACCTTGTCAGTAAATTTGATAAGCTACACATTATTACTAGTCAGTTTGTTGTCGGTTGGAAAAACACGTCGCCAACATGACTTCCTTGGTAAGACACTCATTCACAAAAACGTTCGTCACACTRAACATAACATGGCGTTATAGRGAGGGGTAACTATCATYTCAATGTGATCTTCTCTGATTATCCATAGAAACCTAACTATGAATCCATTGGTGTCCTTTACTGGTAATCTCACGGGTTTGYTACCCTCACTATCAAYCATCGATGCTACAGGAATCGCTKCTTGGACACCTGAAAAAGAGYTTTTCAAACTGCGAAAATTCAGACAAATCAATGGGCTTTCACTCTCTGGACATGCTYRGTGTAGAAATTGCAAGTTATACAAAGAYATGTCCCATAATGAAACATGGATACTTCCTGGAAAAAGAACMGTTCTTCGTTTATGTCGCGCGTACCATTTTACAATTCGCACCGAGTTCCTTGCTCTWGCGCAGATGTTAAACAATAGCCACTTGAACCTTAGCTGTTTTGATAAATGTGCTCAACWCTTTTATAAACTGACTACAGTRAACCATTGTTGGTCTATTGTGATGRTGACAGGCAAAGTGCACGCTGTGTTTGGAAGCCTGGCAGCAGTTCTCAACTTGATTGTTTTTGCGACCATCACCACGTCCAAACACTTRCGCAAAAGTGTATCTATGTGTTTTGTATGTAACATGTCYCTAAGCGACTGTTTAATGGGYATATATGTTGTAGCCATTTCAGCATTTCAAAATAGCAGTCTCTTCCAAGGTTTCTTAGTGGGCGAGCGCGCAAAAGAAATCTGCTCGAGAATMGGTTTTTTATGGATGTTGTCYCATACGGGGTCGGTATTCACGACTTTGTTACTTACTTTAGAGAGATATTTGACAATAGTTTATAGTCTACGTCCAGAGATAAGAATAACTCGTCGAATGGGTCTGGTTTGTTTGCTGATTTGCTGGTTGGTTGCCTCGTTCCTTGGTATCTTTGCTCTTCACAATGAGTACTATAGCAGTCGAGCAAACGCTTTTTGTYTACCWACTGGYCTRAGTCTCAGTCCTTCAAACAGAAGTAAGTTTGCTTTCACCTTAACCAACGGTATACTAGCATTGGTTTTYTACTTATCAAGCTTTGCTTTCTACATTCACATATATGTGGCTGCTAAGCGCGCGGCAAGAACCGCTGGTGTCCGAAGAGAATCCAAACTTGCCAAGAAAATAGCGCTGTTAGTATTTACCAATATGGCGTTCTTCTTCACTCCAGTGCTCTGTATCGGTATCATTTTYATTCTTGAACAGCAATATTACTCTGTTGCAGTATGGTCGCTTGTAAATCTYTCTCCTATGCTTTGCGTTAGTATCAATGCGTGTTGCAATCCAGTTCTTCACGCTTTTCGCCATGATAGTTTYAGAAAAGTTGTCAAAGTAAGAATGGCATATCTATGGCAAATGTTGTGTTTTTCTGACAGTCTATCCAGGGCGTTAGAAGGAAGTAGAAACATCGCTACGTCTTATAATCACCGTACAGGAGACAGTAGAGCGGTGGATGGAGAATACCAAAACAATGGTCAAATAAAATTTGCTCTTTGATCGTATGTCATGATTTTCCCTTGCGTTGACTTCAATCGGAAGCTTAGGAACACGAGCGTAGCTAGTGTTTCTCTTGATTCTCGAGAGTGTTTTTCAACTCCCACCGTGTTTATATCAGAAGACAGAGACACAAGCGGCCGTTATATTTCTTTTATAAAATTTTTCGAGCGAAAAGAAAATTTTGCCGGTAAGCAGTGTCTCTGTCCTCTGATATAAACACGGTCGTCAGCCAATCAGAGCGTGCATTATATATCCAAAATTTTATAATCCTGTATAAAGTACTCGCTCACTTGTACAAGACTTTTAATTTACATTCAAAAAATTCATCAAATAAAAAGAATAACTCTAGGGTTTTCTAAGTAAAGTTGATAAATATAAAGAATATTAGATAGGAATGTGCAATCGACCAGAAAGARAATTAAAATTATGACAGTATAACAACTGATATTTTCATTCATTACACAACCAATGACCCTTTATTTGACTATGATGTCATAGCTCATTTCTATGCGGGACAAAATCACTCATTATAGTGTGACGTAATAGCTGTCAATCATTTAAGCATCATTATATCAATTTATAAAAAAAGTTTTTGGTTTTTATTCGGATAAATCTAATATAAATTTCTTGCATATGGTACAATAAGGAACACAACAAAAGACCAATAGAGTCGCAGCAGGAATCCCATGAACATGACGGGATCTATTGTCTAAAATCGATTCGAATCAGTCTGCCACTAAAACTAGTCAAGKTTTTTTATTAATTTGACAAATTACGAATTTATGAATCAAGTTGTTTTGTATAAGCTTAGAAATCCAAGCCCCTCCCCCTTACTTTCGGCATTGTCCAAATTCTTATCTGCATCCTTGTGTTACTATAATATGTGCGAATGCCGTCATGATTAAACTAAAATCATTGTTTTAGCATTAATCCGTTGACTTAGCAAATACAGTGGAGGTCAGACCGGCTAAGAAATCATTAACATTCTATAACAAAGTATTGTTAAAGGCGGTTTCGTCTTTCGCTTCCTATCCTTCTACAGTATCACTTTTTAAAAGCATTTCGCGTACATGTAGCAAGGCACGGACCATGGCCCGACAAATACACAACGACATCGTTCGATACATCGTCCTGGTAAGTAGAAMTTTTTATCTATTGTTGACTTTGTAYATGTCGTTTGAAATATTACAAACCGGAGAAGCTGCTCTAGTTATTTTGCGATGTTTTCGGCCAACAAATCTGAATATTGAGATAAGAGTCTTTTTTGCATATTTTGGTATGGACTTCAGCAATTTGACTTCAGTTTGTTGGTCGTTGCCTTTGTCAGGACCGGACGTGGTATTTTGATTCAGTAGAATTTTAAAATGTAAACAAAGACCCCTTAGCAGCCTAGTGAACGAAATTGTTATATAGAAGTAATAGAAGGAGTACAATTCAGCAAAAATTGGTGATTTTATTAATATAAAATGAGTGGATACCGGCATTATCAAGTCGGACACCTCTGATGTATACACGTTGAATTTTGGGACGACCCGAGTRTGTCAAACTCGCTATCGATATATACTTCTTTATTTTTTTTTGCAATAAATTCAAAAAAAATCTCTATTTTCTCATGTGCATACAGAATTGATGGATAAATGCTGCGCTGTTTTTTTTTTGTATCATCACTGAATYGTTTAATACCTGGGAATTATTTCAATACTTTGCGTATATTTGTCTGACCATGAACTTGGAATATTTTTTTTTGAAAGTGAAAACACGATTGTGAAATAAGAATCGTACAATTACAAGAAAAAAAAACACGATATAACTCTATATTCTGTGTAGGTATTGGCAATATTTCACTTTCCATTCTTTTTATTATGTAACTTTTAGCGTGACTACATTCCCATGTAACGCACTAATACGTAATGCATTCTCATGATGAGGTTCTGTCACGTACCGTTTAGTCCTCCTCCCCATTCCTTCTCGGCCCCCAGCAGGAACGCCTGTTACCAGGCTACGCACCCTAGTTTGTGTTACTGTGTTTATAATATGGTTGGATAAAATTGTGCAATTTGATTGGCTTAGAGGAGTGGTATTTATCCTTAATAGTGGGTATTTCAAGTTGCACAATTTTATTCAATCATTTTATAAACAAATAATAGCATGTTTTGTACGTGGAATTTGGGATAAATACTACTTCGCTTCGCTCGTGAAATTTTGTTCGACAATTTTGAAATATCACGCATGGTATTTATCCCAAATACCATTACAAAACATGCTATTACCTAGTACTAATAATGATATTYATGATTTCACGTCAATCGTTGTTTGGTGACAAGTATCTGTCACGCGACTTCCATATATGGAATATAGTTGATTAATATTCATCAATCAAATCAGTAAATACTGCTGAAGTATCAGTGGACTCACGATATTCACTTAACGCGAGAGATGGGTCTAAAGCCAACTTTGTTCATCCTTGTACCAGCTACGGTAAATTCACATTCAAATATTTTRGTTAAAAACTAACARTCMAAACAACAAACAATCCCAACAAACATAACAAATCGTCAAATCTAATTTTAAACATCACTTAATTAGCAATCAAAAATATACAATACATTGTGTATTTTATTTCCAGTCAAGTTTCTGTTTATTTAATTTAACTCTTCCATATCATCACTTATATACTATTACATAGTTTACTATGACAAGTAACTCGAAAGTTTAAACAMCTTTGGCTGTCACACACATCTTGCATTGATCTCTCTTTGTTCATATCTGTTGTGAAAGAAAAATGGAAAGATATTTAATTAACACTTGTAAACTATGCAAGAAGATTGTAAGTATTAGTAACAAAGTGTTCACGTACAGGGCTCGATTCTGATGTCCATATAGAAGGCTTTCATATTACAAACAGTGAAGCTTCACTAGTTATGTAATGTGTATTCATGAATGTCCAAAATTCAGATTCACTCAAGCGAACTGATCTCATTGCGTAATGGTTAGATTTAGGGCATACAGTCAACTCTCGCTATTACGGACACCCTCGAGACCGTAATTTAGTTTCCGCAGTAGCGAGAGTCCGTAGTAACGAGAGTTACTTTCAGTCATTTCTCTGTATTTCCCCCTGGGGATTCAGTATTTTACTGCCCGCAATATCGAGGTGTCCGTTGTAGCCGTGTGTCCGTAAGGCGAGAGTTGACTGTATGAGGTTAGGCAATGCATAGCGCTGAGTTCGAACCTTCATGATCGCTGCTTAAATACAGCTATTTCAAAAAACGTTGTCGGGGAGAACGGCGAACGGCGATTGTCGAAGGGAGATTGCACGACCGAAAGGGACTATGGTTACACTGTCTTGATAAACAAAATTTCACTTATTGGATTAGCCTTACATAGAAATGGAGACTAAATGAAGCCRATGTTTACCACAGACCATCTTACAGTACAAATCAGTTGTTATTGCCTTTCAACTAGCAAAACCCATGGCTACTTTCGGTCGTGCAATCGCCGTTCGACCATTGACATTCGCCATTTTATCCGACAACCTTTTTTGAAACAGCTATATTCTTTGATTTGAAGTCTTTGAGAATTTTCTAAGAGCTTCTCCACAAAATATACACATGACAGTCTTCTATTCGTATGAGTGGGAAACGGACGGTACTGTACTGTAACCGTAATCGTACTGTAACCAAATTCTAGTGCTCCATTGGTTCACCAAAATTGTGCAGGCCAGCGGTCCGGTAACTGTGCGGTAACCGTGCGATAACGGTGTCCCACTCATACGAAATCCGCTCTACGTACTCCGTATTATGGGATTCGTACGACAGATCCTTCTCGAGTAATAACGGCCTTTTGCGTTTACATTTTGTTTGTTTGCTTGTTTTTCTTCTTTGATCTTATACCCAGTGCTCATGCTCATGCTCATGCTCATGCTCATGCTCATGGCCATGCGCATGCTCTTCCTAATCCAATCCCACATGGTTCAATGGTTTATTGTTTTTATTCAGATAATATGGATGGGTATCAATATCTTCCTCTTTGCCAAGACTTACTACGATCTTACAACTACGAAAGAGAACATGTACCTAAACAAACTAGTGAAGGTAGGGCTCACTTGACGGGCTGGCAGAGAGTGTCCATGTAGAACTTATTTGCTTATTTACTTCTTTATGTAAAACTTATTTACTGTAACAATAACATATTATTCATTATCTGTTTCGTGATGTAAGTCATGGATATTCTTCTTCGCTCTAAAGGCCAGAGTGCATCCAAGAACCAGTTTGCACCATTTTCTCACATACGAAAAATCGCCATCTTTGAATTTGAACCAATTAAAAAGCAACAAGACCAACGACCGCAAAGGTTCTTGGATGTACGTGGACCTTTAGACTTTTGACAGCTAGTAGGACTAACACTGTCGCTTTTGCCCTAAAACTATCAATCACAATTTCAATGTTTTTAAACATTTTTTATTTTTATTTATTTTATTTTTTATTTATTGGTGGTGAAGGAAGTTCAGATGATTTGGATGAATTCAGTCGATGTTGGCGCTGATGACAATGATAAAGACGATGATATTATAATTATAAGAAATATGGCAACATTTCTTTTTGTAGTTTGGATTGGCTCTTGCGCGTGCTCCAGCGGCTGTTCTCAACTTCAACTGTATGCTGATCCTACTTACGATGTGTCGGAATCTCTTGTCGTTCATTCGCGGAACGTTCAAGGTATTGTACCACGTAGAAAGGYTTACGTTTGTCGCTGAAAATATCATGTATGTAGCATATATTTTGGTATGTTAGGCATCATGTTTCAGTATTGCAAGTTTACGGCATCGATATGCCCTACATGGCCCGTTTACGTATAGCGTACTTACGGATGGTTAATTTACTGTATTACCGCGACTGCACGATTACGGAGCGCTTGCGTTAAGACACTGTTACAGTACAGCGTGTTTACGCATGGTTCGTTTACAGCATAGCTACTATACACCTACGTAATGATAAGGAACAGCTCATTTACGTATGGTGGTACTTTTAYTGCATGCCTGTCGTGTGACTGCACGATTACGGAGCGTCTATGTAAAGTCACTGTTACAGTACAGTGCGTTTACGCATGGCTCGTTTATAGCATAGCTACATACTCCTTGCATGCCTGTCGTGTGACTGCACGATTACGGAGCGTCTATGTAAAGTCACTGTTACAGTACAGTGCGTTTACGCATGGCTCGTTTATAGCATAGCTACATACTCCTATGTATTGATACGTAACAGCTTATTTACGCATGATTCTTTTACTGCATGGCTTTCGTGTGACTACACGATTACGGGACGGATTTACAACATAGTATACGCTACGTACGGCAGAGCGTTTTGCCGCGTTTCTTATGTAATATTCTACGCGTGTAATCTAACAAAGTCACCTTTTCAGTGTAGCACGTCTGTCTTACGTCTACTTGACAAGAACATAAGTTTCCACAAGTACATTGCGTACATGATTTGTTTACAGACAGGTAAGATGCATCTTTGATGCTTCTTCTAATAGACCTCTGAAGCTTTTACGTCATATACTGTATACACAGTGAACTCAGTGTAGGATATGTTTGGGACAAAACATGGTGGCTCTAATTTGTTTTCTCCACGATCTGATCCCACAATGCATTGCTAAATAGGCATTTTTTTGACGTAAAAGCTTCAGAAATCGATTAATTAAGTGGGTGGAGTTCATGCTCATTGATTGGATTAAAAATACCATTGATTTTGTGTGGGGGAGGTGAAGGTATCAAGTGTAGATGGTAGGTCTGGGATCAAGATTTCAGTTGTATATACGTTCATGAAGAAATTATCTTTTGTGTCATGATTTTAATGTATTTATTTTGTTTTTCTAGTCATCCACTGTGTGGCACATATCTTTAACGTGGAGTTTCTCATCATGGCCTGGAGTAAAGGAGGAATTTATAGTAAACTGTGTCAGTTGGACGACTCAGGCAACGAAACCTACATCAACCCTATACGAGACCCCAAAGCGGTAAAATACATATTATATTTTACATAAAGTTTAATTTGGTTGATTATCAACGATCAAATATTGCGATTCATTGAATGCGCGATTCTAATATTTCATCGCATCTTTTTGTAACTAATATATGTTATATTGTTTGCAGAAYCCCATTGCTGTTTTATGGACTTTAGGTATGCKTTTGACTGCCGTTATTTTGAATTGTCCATTGTAGATTCATTACGTGATTGTAGTTTTATCACGTGACTGTAGTTTTATCACATGATTTCAGATTAATCACGTAACTGTTGTTTTATCACGTGACTGTAGATGTATCACGTGACTGTAGTTTTATCACGTGATTATATATTCATCACGTGACTCTAGTTTTATGACGTGATTGTAGATTTATCATCACGTGATTRTTGATTTATCACGTGTCCGATTTTTTTCAGCTGCTGGAGTGACAGGAGCAGTCATCACTTTGGCTCTGATACTGATGGTGGGTAGATTATAACAAAGTGTATATTTTTACCAGAGGTAGTTTTACTTTAACTATGTGTTATATCATTTTCAGATATCTTCGTCAACTGAATTGATCAGGTAAGTACATTATCACAAGTCAMATCCATCCACGAGTTGCTAACGATGTTCTTCTTGTCCGCAGACGGTCGTATTTTGAGGTGTTTTGGTACAATCATCATTAYTTTGTGATATTTTACATTGGGCTTGTCATCCACGGCATACAGTAAGATATACAAAGTTACATAGAATTCTTCATTATGATTTTATTTTGGTGGAGAATCTCAATCGAGAAGATGTACGTCGAAGATTTATAAAAGTCTGCAGAAATGAAGAGTATGGTGAAATAAATTTTTGAAAAGTTGTTGGAGAGTTGGTGAAGAAGCTCACAATAACTGCAGATGTGGAGATGTTAGTAGAAATTCATTCAGAGCTTAATTCAGTCGGGGTGCATGTCAAAATGGTGGAGAAGTTAGGAAAGGTATTAGTAGTGGAGAAGTTGGGAAAGGTATTAGAAGTGGAGATTTGTCTGGGATCTGGTGGAGAWGGTTGAGTAGTTGTTGTGGAAAATGAGCGCAAGAAATGTCATGATATAATGGTAATGATGATGATGATATTATGATAAGTTATTGATTAGCTATGCAGCAAGCATAATTTTTTGATGACCAATAACTGTATGATGAATACTAGTGATAACGAATGTTAATGATGTAGATAATGCCTGATCACTGAGGATAACGATAAAAATATGTTCGTAACAATGCTCATAGTAAGGACCATGTGCATTTAATTTCTTAAATTTTAGCGATAAATTGATATTATAACGGCTTTTTGTTAATCAGAGGCGTGATAAGATACCAATCAAACGTAGATGAACACGACCCTGAGGTCTGCATGGATCCAAAACTCTGGTTCAAACACAAGAAATGCATGAAACCTCCAAAGTTTGTTCCGTTTGGCATGAATGTAAGAATTGTTTCCTTCCAAACTATTGCAATGATTAGATTAATTGATAGTAGCGACAGCTTTTTGCAACAATTGTAACTCTCCAAATTCCTAGTATAAATAGTATTTCAAAGTGCCTTAAAACTTATGGGATACCATCACTGCTAATCCTTTCCGCAAGTACACGTGCTAGACAAAAAAAAAGATAAATAAATAAAACAGCGATAGTTGAATATGGCATGCAGACGGAGTCAAAATTATTTTTATATTGCTTTAATCATTTCATAGATATGAAACGTCAAGATATCTATTTCTCTTCCTGATGA